ATGGAAAAAGTCCATTAAAGTGATCAATCTGGACCCTCCTCTGTGGACTTGAAGGACCTGGACCTCTGGAACATTCACAGTCTGAAGGTAGAACTCTGGTCAGTAGATGAAGGTGCTGCAGAACCAGAACCAGATGTTCTGAGGAGGTTCTGGTTTAGATTTGGTTCATTTAAGAAGCTTTTATCAGTAATTTACCAAAACAAGGAAAAAATCAGTAAAACTCTTCAATCTGAACAAAGATTCAGCTGAAAACTGACGCTGACTAATTAACAGTAATTATTCTGCACTAGTTTAGAAAATTAAGTTGTTCCAACTCGTATGTACACGTTATTTAAAATAAACTTTTAAGCGTTGGACACCTAATTAAAAGTAATTTGATGAGGTCTTATTGAGACGAGGCTGTTCTGGTGCTGAACAGGTTCAGGATGAGTTCCAGGTGGGTTAGGGTTACCCTAACCCTAACCCTAAGAACAATCAGATCTCCATGAAGTTACATCAACTTGAATTTAGCTTTGAATCAACTGAAGCAGAAATTAGTTTAAATTCGACAAAATATTAAGTTGATGCAACATTTTTACGTAAATGGTTTAAACTTAAAAGGTTTATTTATCTTATTTATGCCGTTTTTAACTAAGCTGATATTTTTATCCTTCAGCTTTTAATTCATCGCTGGTTATCGGTGCCTTGAACCATTTTTTACAGTGCAGAGGAGACATCAGCTTGTTTGTGATGAACACACAGTCTCAGGTGTGTCGGCGCTCCGCAGGTGAACAACAGGTAGACGTTTGGCAGCAGCGGTTCAAACTGGAACATGTTTATCAGATGGATCGGTGACGCTGGGGAGCTTCTTCTGTTGGAAAAGAGTTTCTGAGCAGCTCTGGGCTTCCTGCAGCGTCTCCGGGACGACCTCCTCGCCTGAACCAGGGCAGATCAGAGCTTCATTCAGGGTCCGATTCTTATCAGCAGGAGCCAGAAATTCAGGTTCTGAAAAGCTCTTTTGTTGGCTGTCCTGACACAGTTTGGTTTTCCTGGTTTGGGAGCCAAAAGATGTTCTGGTTCTTCACCAGCACACCCTGAAACCAGAGTCTGGACCTTGGCTTGGGGTTCGTTTGTCGGGTTTTCACTCTGTGGGGCTGAAACATTCCTGAGTGCAGGTGATGAACGGTCACCGACCTGTGGAAGTGTCGCCTGTAAACAAACCCGCCCGTCTGGATTCCTGCTTCCCGGAGGACGTCCCGGTTTTACGAGCGTGTCGTCGGCGCTTTAAAGCTGTGGGCACGCTGAGCTGTGATTGGCCGGGCTGTGGGCCAGGTGGGCGGCAGGTGTGGCGGTGCATGGGTGGGACCGGAGGACGAGCAGATTACGGTGGGCTGTAAAAACCCTGCAGTCCCTCCACACCTTCCTCCGGCCGCCACAGAGTCTGTTACAGGTGAGAAAAACCTCCATAAATACGACGTGTTTCAGCAGCTTGAGGGTCTGAAGCTACAGGCGTCGTTTTGTCTGATTATTTTGTGCAATTTGTGCCTGAATGTGTGTTTGTGCTTCAAATCATTCACAGTTTGATGTGTTCTGTGTGTTTCTGTTCACGTTTTTAGATAAAAACCCTCCAAAGCATGGACCCTGAGTACTTCACCTCTTATGTAAGTACCTGGAGACCTCTGACCTGCCGTCACAGATAGCGTTTATCTGAGTGTCTGTAAACCGTCTGATGTCAAAGCAGCTGCTCAGGATTCATCGTTTATGTTTCCAGTATCGTTTAAAATGTCAAAAAAAGCCAACTCAGTTAAAGCTAGACGCTCAGACTGTGCTTTGAAATGTGATGTTTGGACTCAACGTTAAAAAAAAATCTGATTCATGAAATTATGTTCAAGCAGCGAGTTGGAAAAATGAGCCTTTTGTCAGCAATCAGAGCTGAATGACTCAAAAATGATCAATAAAAGTTCGTCCCAGTAGGATTTCTGTCATTCAGAGCTGCTTTACAGGTCGATTTAAAAAAAAAAGAGAAAGATGTAATCAAAATTCAATGAATCAGAAACAATGCAGGCAGATCTGTAGAATACTCAGACCTGATTAAACAGTGATGAGGTGAACAGCATGATCAAATACTGAGGAAATAAAGTAAATCAGAGCACAGACACTGTTAAATGAGAAAAACACACAAAGTTCTCCTAATTATAAGTTACTGGGTTCAAATTCAAGTGAAGAAGTTGTCAAGCCTTTTTTTTAAAGTTCCAACTTAAATTGAAATTAAGTTTTAAATCAAATATAAATAAATAAATAAATGAGTACAAATTAAATCAACACAGAAATCTGATTTTAAATGACATCAAACACATGATGTGAAAATAAAGTTTACAAGTTAAAAAGCGGCTTTAAATCACTACATGGCGTCTAAAAAATAATGTTTAGACTCAACAGAATACATTATTTGCATCAATCTGTTGGAGTTCAGACGACTTCTGATGAAATTATGTTCAACCAACAAACTGCTGAATGAACTGAAATCAAAGGAACGTTTAATTATTTAATGATCTGCAGCATAAACAGGTTTTTAAGTTGATCAGTGATAACAACAAGTTGTTCCAAGTCGTATTTTCAAGTTATTAAATCTTGTTTTTTAAGTGTTCTGTAGTTAATGACTATGATTGTGAGTTTTGGAGTTGGAAAAAAAAAAAAAAAAGAAGTTTCTTCAGTGTTATCCTTTAGTCCGGAGCTAAATCTAGTTTCTAACCAACCTCCTCCACTTGAATTTGGCTTTAAATCAGTGGCACCTGAGTGTAAATGACATAAACCATGAAGCAGCATCAGTGGATCTGAATCTGTGTCCTGCAGCCAAACGTCTCATTAGGACCCACTGAGGTCCTTTGAACAGCTCTGCTGCACCCGGAGCTACAAGATGTTTGAGATGCTTTGGATTCTGGCTGCCTGCTATCGCCGCTCATCTCTCCATTCATTCAGCCACATTCCAGCTGCTTCCTGTCTCTCTTCACGTCTTCATCAACACAAACAGGATCTCCTCCATCCCGTCAGTCACTGCTCTCGTCTCTCTCTGACAGGACATGTGTTGGGGAACCCTGGGCACCGTCCGGCCCTTCCCCGGCTTCCACGCCGACCGGGACGCGCTGGAGATCCAGGCGGCGCTGGAGAGCAAAAGTACATCTGCTGCTGCTGCATTCCTGCTTTCATCTCTTGTGTGTGTTCAGCGTTTCCATGTTTAAACACCTCCGACGTGTCGCCCAGACGCAGGGACTCTGGTGAGGATCCTGACCAACCGGAGCAACGCCCAGCGGCAGGAGGTCGCTCAGGCCTACGAAGGACAAACCCGCAAGGTAAAGAAACACCAAAGAGTGAAAAGAAAGAGCTCCAGGGTGGAACTTTCAGGTGGAGACCCTGGGCTGAGCTCATCAGTCATCAGAACAGGGACAACATCCGTCCGTCTGGGAGTGTTTGCTGATAGAGTACTGACATGTGGACACACCTCTGTTTGGAGAAGGTTGAGCTGCTCTCTGTGGTCGGACAGCGAGGATCTTTATCCACCATAACATCTGGTCTTAAAGGGAACGTCAGCAGAAGAACATGCACTGTAAAAAAACCACAACGACAAAAACAGGCTGTAGTGTTACAGATGAAACGCACAAAAAAATCTAATTAAGACACTGAATAATAAAGTTTTTATTATTATTGTATTTATAGTTTTATAGTAAAGTTTTAATCTAAACTAATTTAAAAACCTGTAACTTTGATGCCCATATAATTATAATTTAACTTTTTTTGGAAAGAATTCAGATTATTTTCTATTTTACATAAAACAATGTCAAAATTCTCAAATTATTTTTTTTTTCACGTTTGTTCTCCATCTTTGAGTTACACAAAAGAATCAGACTTTCAAATAAAATTTCTAATATTAATAACATTTAAAACTCCTAACTTTGCAGAACCAGAACATTTTAATATTTAGGATAAAAGCTGTTATTTTATAGGCTTTATTCTTTTTTTTTTAAATATTCAGAAATAGTTTTAAAATTATAATGCAAAATATCATTAAAAAACTCTATGAACAAATATAGAATTTATGTTTTTTTTCACAGATTTCTTGTGCACTTAATTTTAAAATAATCTGTAGTTTTATAAATGTTTATATTTGTTCAAATAGTTTATATTATTAAAGAATAAAGAATTGGACATGAAGCACCTGTAACTGAACGACCATAACTTCCTTTTTTGTTTTTTAATACAAAAAAAGTTTATTTTTATATATAAAGACACAAATTTATAATAATTTCACCAATATTTTCTTTTAATATAATAAAAATTATAGATATAGTCCAGTATGAAACTGTTTTGGAAATATGATCCTAAAATTACCAGAAAAATAAACGTTGGTTCTTTAATTTTACACACATTCGTTTGTTGAATGCTTAATAAGTTGAATAATTATCTCTCAGCATTGAGTGTTTAACAATAAATCTGTTTATGTGTGTTATTTAACGATTCGTTATTATTCACAAAAAGCCAAATAAATGATCTCATGATGGGAAAATGTGTTTATGGAAAATTACTGCGTTTTCTGTTATTTTATAGTTTGGGTTTTATTATTTTAGGGTTTTTAAAAAAAAATAAAATTTCCCCTCAGTTTAAACTGGAAGTCATTAAAGACAACCAGAGACAAATAATAATAATAATAATAATAATAAACTTTATTTATAGAGCCTTACCTTACAAAGTGCTTCCCAATGAAATAACTTTAAATTGAAATAAAATAAGCACACAGAAAAACAGAAAGCACACAAAACAGAAGAAGCTATAAAACTTAAAACTTAAACAAAATCAGGAGAAGCTCTCTGATAAAAATGTGTTTTAAGGAGCGACATAAGGAGACACAGAACCAGCCGGCCTGATGTCCTCGGGCAGCTCATTCAAACTCTGGACCATCTCTCTGTGCTTTCCAGGATCTTGCAGCTGCTCTGAAGAAGGCTTTATCTGGAGACGTGGAGGTCCTGCTGCTGGAGCTGCTGATGCCTCCGGTCCAGTACGAGGCGTACCGGCTGCAGCAGGCCATGGCTGTGAGTTCTCACACGTCTCATTACGGCCGCCTGTCGTGTCCACGGCGGTTCTGCTCATGTTCATGTTTGCGTGCAGGGTTTAGGGACGGACGAGGAAACCCTGATGGAGGTTCTGTGCACCAGGTCTGGACCTCGGCTTCAAGAAATCCGAGCCGTGTACAAACAGAGTGAGTCCAGATGTTCTCCGACGGCAGAAAGCAGATGAAGGAGGACGTCTGAGCTCAGATGTTTGCTTTGTGTTTGGCTTTCAGTGTACAAGAAGGAGCTGGAGAAGGAGCTGAAGGGAGAAACCAGCGGAGACTTCGCTAAGCTGGTTCTGGCTCTGTTAAACGTCAGTTCACCATTCAAACCATCACAGCTGAGACCTCTGAAATATAACGAAGTGAAGCTCTGAGAGCTCATCTGTGTGTTTTTAACTTGTGTCCCAACAGAAGAGTGAAGCTGCTGGCAGCGTTCAGAGAGATGTGGAGGTATTGTTCTCCATCATGCCTTTATTCATACATGTTGTACAGGAGGAGCATCTCTCTGCGCCGTGTCTTCATATTATCAGTGTTTACATCGAATACAAACTAGGATTAACAGAATAGAAATACTTTATTTATCCCTAAGGGGAAGTCTGGTTGTTACAGCACAGAGATAAAGTTCCCACCAACTTAAATACAGACAAATAAACAACAAGAAATATCAAACACAACATGTGCAGTAAGTGTGAGTGTCATCTGGTCAACAGATCTGCTCCATTCTTCTCTATTAGTGAGAAAATGTGCAGAAAAATAGCTCAAAACAAGCATTTTGTTCCAATTATTTACCTTCTCGCATGAAAAATCTGCAGAATAGCAGCAATAAACCTGCAAGTCTCTCCTTTATTAATGAGTCTGTGACGTTTAAATGCTCTCACTGCCTCCATCCATCCAGACTCTGTCTGCGTCTCTAAACGGGAAAAAAGCCGAAGCAGCACCGTGGATCGAAGTCCTGACCTCCAGAGACTCAGACCACCTCAACAAAGGTCAGTGTGTTCTCTCAGGTCTTCACACTTTTAAACATCAGCGCCTGTAACTCTCACCGTTGTGCTGCTGACAGTGCTGACGGGTCTGGAGCTGACCAGCGGACAGACGGTGAACCTGACGGTGGAGAAACGTTTCTCTGGAGACTTCCGGCTGGGTCTGAGCGTTTTAGGTGAAGACAGTTTGAGTGTTCAGCGATCGCTGCAGGAGCTGAGTGGCCTCTAAAGCTTAATGCTGTCTGTGTTTGTCAGTTCAGTGCATCCAGAACGCTGACGTCTACCTCGCCAGGAGGCTGGCCACCATGAAGGTAGGAGGACGCCGGACGACGCTACAGCCGTCCTCAGATCTGTTCATCCGCTTCCATTAAAGAAAAGGCAAAATAGTCACTGAAATAACTAGAAACTGAAAAGAGTATAATAAATATTTGCTAAATTATAATGTAGTGGAATAAGACGTTGCTTTGAATTGTGGTTGAAAAGAATAATTTAAACAAAACAAACTGTGGTGGACCAATGAGAGGCCTTTGCTGATGAGCAGTGGACCAATCAGAGCTCTTTGCTGATGAGCAGTGGTCCAGAACACCTGTCAACAGGTGCAGAAGTCTGACTGAGAGCTACAGAAACACCTGATGGCAGTGATTGGCTCAGAGGGTTGTTCAGGTACATGTTAGTCCACCAGGTCCATCAGGCTGGTTTGATTGTTGTTTTTATATTTCTGTTGAACCACAGTTCAGAAGCAGCGTCATGATGTTCATTAAGTTTTTATTAATTAATACTTTTGTCAGTTTCAGCTGATTCCAGTGACTGACGCTGTGTTTTCCTCCTTTAACGGGAGGCTGTGAACACATCTGAGGACATATTTTAATGAGGTCTTTGCAGGAACTAAATGAGGAACCAACGGATGTTCCTCAAAATATTATAAATTAATATGAACAAAGGGAGAACTTCTAACTGGAAGTTTAATATTAATGACTACAGAACACAAACCTGAACCTCAGCAGCAGCACGCAACGACAGTCAGGAGTTCAAACCGGCGTCTAAACGTTTCACCTGAAGCGTAACCGAACACTGTAAAGCTAAACCTGTCATTTTATAGAATATATGCAGCTCTACGGGTCTAAAATAACCCAGAACTGGGACAAAAACATCAACTTTTTAGAGACAATATAAATATTTCCTTTGATAAAAACGATAAAATCAAGCGTGAAACGGAATCAGAAAGAGAAACATCTTCTAATTACAGAAGTTTTTTCTATAGGAGTCAGTTTTTTATATCTACTAATCTACATGTATGTTTATATGTGTGTGATTTAGGCTGATGTGCTTCAGGGAGTCAAAATCTGCATTTAACTCACATTATCTTATTTATTTTGCCCTTTTTTCTCACGTTTACGCCCACGTTTCTGTGTCCCGTCTTTTAACATAAAGCAGATAACCTGTAATTAAATGTCATTTAGGAAGCAAACGTCCTCTTTTTAATCTAGAAGCAGCAATAAAATTAAAGGTCGACATCAACAACAGTTTATAAAGTAGGTTGTTGTTGTTTTTGTGTTCGACAGATCTCGTACTTTCACAGCTGAAATGTTTGAAAAACTTTAAATCGTCCTCGTATCTGTTAAAATGAGTGAATCGATCATCGAACTTTAGACCAGGTCGTCTTTGGTAAACCGCCACGGACGGAAAAAGTCCAGAAACTCACCTGGAAATACTCCATTACAAGTAAAAGTCCATCATTCGTATGTGTTCAAAGTATGAGCAGCAAAATAATCCTGAAGCAGCAAAAATCAAAGTCAAGCTGGTGAAATGCTGCAGATTCATAATGTACAGGTTATTATTATTATTATTATTATTATTATTATTATTATTGTTATTATCATCATCATCATTTTGGCATTGAGGTTTATTTAAATGTTATTCTGCAGTTTGAGCTGGTTTAGGTGGAAAAAGCTTTTAAATTCATTGTGAAACAGTCTGAACTACAGTCATCCATCTGTTTTTACACCATCATGTGTTTTGTGTAGTTCAGCTGTCAGATGCTCTTCCAGTAAAGTCCAGGCTGTAGAACCCACCTGGAGGAGGATCACAGGAGCGCTAGTGTTAGCTTAGCACCGACGCCCTGGTGGATTCAGTACCGGACCACAGAATTCAAATGTCAGCATTAAGCACCAATGTTAAAGCAGGAGACTCGTTCTCTTCACTAAATATTGAAGGCAGACAACATGTCAGTTAAACTAGTCACATCCTGCAGAGCTTTATTCTGTCTTTAGTGTCTGTTTTTGTTCAGTTACAGAAAAGTTCAGTCGAGAAACGTGAAGAGACGCTGACGTGGGACACAGAACACATAGAATCATATCACTTTAAACAGACGCCGTTTTATTTAATCCACACAAACAAACAGAAACATTGATGAACATTATTAATCTGAAGCTAATAAAACACTTGTGGCAGTGTAGCGCAGTGAACGGTGCCATCATTCACATGAAGCAGCAGAAAACACAAGTGGCTTCAGCAAAGCCTCCACTGGACCTCGTTAGCGCAGCAGAGCGCCGTTTATGACGACAGACAGCGAAGCCAAGATCTGCTGTGGCTATTTATTCATCATCCACGACACCAATTTCTGTTTCATCCTGATAGAAATAAACGACTTTCAGACGCTGGCTCGAGCCACATGTCTGCTGCATCGAGTGTCAAACTACGTCAGAGAAGCTTTAGCGCATGTTTAACATCAAACTGAGAGCTTTTCACGTGCTGGTGTTTTGCAGTCGTCCTTGGTCCACGGCATCATGGTTTCTCACTGCGAGGAGGATCTGCTGTGCATCCGAGCCGCCTTCGTTAAGCTCACAGGAGCTTCTCTGTACTCCAGCCTGCAGGTCGGTGTCGCATGTAGCGCTGCATCAGATGCTGCTTTACATATCGCACACAGGCATCGTGGGACTGACGTTTTCTTCTCTTCCAACAGAAACAGTTCAAAGGAGATCATCTGCAGGCTCTGCTGGCCATCTGTCGGTCCGAAGACTGAAGTCCTGCTCGTTTGTGTCTAAACAGTCTGTCTGAATGCAAAAATAAACCTCCTGACAACCTGCTGCTTTTCATACTTTATGAATAGATCGTTTAATGTGCAACCTTATACAAACATGTGCGACTGAATCAAACCAAACAAGCTGTGTTGAATATTTTATGAGTGCGGTTCATATAAAAAGGCAGTTTGTTTTTATTGCTTTCGGTACATGCTGCGCTATTTCCTCCTCCTCCTCCGTTCTTCTACATTCACAGCAGGAAGGGAACACCGGCATTATTTCACCTTCACGGTTTAGCATTTTTGTGATAGTTTTGCATTTAATGTAAAGATCTGAGTAAATATTGTGTTCCCATTTTAAATGTTCCAGTTCACGAGCATCATGTCTTTCACTACATTTACAATCTCACAACCGGGTTCACCTCAAATCTCTCTCAGTCCTTCGTCCTTCCATCCACATGCATCTGCATTCAGTCAACTCAAGCTTCACCGACACCAAGAAAGAAGAAGAACAAGAGTTTTTTTAGTCCTTTCAGTGAGTGTCGGTTCTCACTGGCAGAGCAGGTGGAACAACAACGGCGCCACAGACAACAGAACCGAGGCCTTGACCCCCGAGACGCCGCCTCTTGTGGTAGTAGACGGAGGTCTAGTGGTTGGCTTGGTTACTGTGGTTGTTGTGGTTACATTGTCAGTTGAATTGCTTGGTGGGTCGACGGTTATAGGTGTGATTGTAGGGATGTCGGTGGTTGGTTTGGCTGTTGTGCTGTCG